GGGTTATTCCAACTTGTAAAGGTGACTGAAAAAATGAGAGAAGATACCATAGGCCAATGAAAAATTGTTAGTAAACAAAAACTCACAAAAGAAAAAAAAAACCGACAACGCCATAGTAAAGAAGAAAGAAGAAAAACTGCGATAACAAAATATTGCACAAAAATCTATTGACGGACACGAACACCACAAATAAAGGAGATTAACCACCAGCGTCACTCGTCGTGACATATCATTGGTTCTTCGGTGAGACCCAAGGTCCTGGGAGACCTTTACATTGAAAGTCACTAAAATCATTTTTTGCTACAGCCACATTTTTACAGGGTTTGAAAAAAATTACTTATACCAACAACTCAATGAATACACTTTGTACATGCATATTTCAAAAAACAAGGCACCATGTGAAATGTTTTACTGATTTTATTAAGTCTATGCAAATTCTTTGGACCAAATATGTTGCAGATTTGTGACCAGTTTATAGTTGGAAAGAGAGAACTGACGGCTGGTTGCTGTAGTACTAATTACTGTAACAGTGAGATATTTTTTCTACGCATTTCATAGACCTAATCGCTATTTAGGAATCTGCGATACTTGTCCGGATAATTTGAACTTTTGACGTCCTTCAAAATTCACTTTTGCTTTGCATCAGAAATGTTCTTTTTTGGTGTAAATATTTTACTAGAACGTTTGTGATGTCCAGTAATTGGGGACTAATAGCGATAATATTTATTATTTTGAGGACATTGTTATGTACAAAAAACAGGTAGGCAAATAATGTTTTTCTTTATAGATAAAGTCTCCAGTTACCCCACTTCCATGTTGAGCAAGCGGTAATGTGGATATTTCTTTTTGCGAAACAGTTCAATTTGGGGTCCTCTTCGCGGTCCGTGTTTAAACTATGATGATTTCTGTGAAAAATCAATAGACAATCCTTTGAATTTAAACAACTAAAGCTTCCGGGTGTAAATTTCAGAATAATAAAATTGAGAATGGAAATAGGGAATGTGTCAAAGAGACAAAAACCCAACCAAAGAGCAGAAAACAGCCTAAGGCCACCAATGGGTCTTCAACACAGCGAGGAAATTCCGCACTTGGAGGCGGGATTCAGCTGGCCCATCAACAAAAAATGTGTACAAGTTCAGTGAAAATGGACGTCATACTAAATCCCGAAACATATTTAAATGAACTAAAATTTAGAAAAAAACATACAAGACTTAGATTTACTAATACTCGCTACAAATCAGTGATCTTCGCTTTTCGTCCTGTTTCTAAAGCTCGTACACATAAATTATATATATATATATATATATATATATATATATATATATATATAAACAAGTCTAAATTGAAAACAACGTTCAAAGCTATGATTGCGTTGGATAAAAACCGCAATTTTTATACGTGTGCATGCAAATCAAATTTCTTGTTAGAGGGGTCTAAATACAGCACACACAACATTTTCCAAAAGACCAAAAAAGTGAAAAAGTATATTTTAACAAAACGCATTTGACTAACAGGTCGAACAACAAATGTTCTTAAACCCTGCTGACTGCCATTGGCGATTGCCAAATAAATGGATCACCGATGTAATAAATAGATCGTAATTATAAATTTAATACTAAACAGAAAACAATAAACTTGCGGAAAAGATGGTATACCGCAAACAAAAGGTGCAAAGGTTTTTGTACACCATATCCGGATTTCGACAATTAATGTCTCTTCAGTGATGTTAGGAATCGAAACGGTATTTGGAAAGCCATACAATTTACCTCAATTTGGGATAGACTCTTGAATTTTGAGGAGTCAAAATAGGATGAACGGATCATATAAACCCGAAGGCAAATATAATACAAGCCTTCTTTGCTGCTAGAAAATTATTCACTATGCACGACAGAAAAGCTAGCAATACATGATCAGCGGCAGATACTTGTAAAGGGAAGGAAGTTCATTGTAGTAACGTTTAATAATTTACTATCTTATAGTTTATGATTTTGTGTTGAACTTTCCAATATATATTTGACTTATTCTGTTTCAATTTGCCGTTTCTAATGCATTCTGGGTGATATTTTCAAAAGTGTACACCAAAACGTCGTGATTGGTTAAAATGCAATAAACAAAGGAAATTCAACCAATGAAGTGACGTTATTTTCATTTTGGGGTACGAACAATGGAATTACCCGTAGTTCTTTAGATTCTGAACTGGCATGTTGCATTGTAGTCCAAATCTTGCAATGCCACACACATATGACACAAGCGGACACCGAAGCGAAAATGAAATAAATTGCAGGCATACATCATGAAATAGGTCTAATATACACAATGCAAAGTTGTATAGTAAAATCTTAATAATGTATCATCCGAGTGGGGCAATATAAAGGCTGGAGTACCCCAGGGGTCGATCCTGGGACCTCTTTTATTTTTGATATTTATCAATGATATCATATCTGATATACAGTCCACTATTAAGTTGTTTGCTGATGATACAAGTTTATATTTGATAGTAGATGACCCCCGAGAATCGGCAAACAACTTGAATAGTGATCTCACAAAAATCCATAGATGGTCTTCAAATTGGCTACAGTGACCTTTAACCCTCAGAAAACCGAGACCATGACAATTTCACGGAAACTTCACAAACCTGATCATCCAAAACTTAACATGAACAACGTAACTGTAACTGAGGTATCCACCCATAAACACCTTGGATTACATATTTCAAACGATGGCACTTGGCATAAACATATTGATGTAATAACCGAAAAGGCATACAAACGACTGAATGTTCTACGAAAATCTAAATTCATCCTTGACAGACGAACACTCGAGACAATATACCTAACATATATAAGACCATTATTAGAATATGCTGATTTTATCTGGGACAACAATACACATCTTTCGATTGATAAAATTGAAAAAGTACAAGCAGAGGCTGCCAGCGACTCTTTTCACAAAAAATCTTAAGAGTAAAAATACTCGTAAGTCATACACTTTTCAGTATAACTTACGATCAATTTTAATCGTAATATTTTTTGTGAAAAGAGTCGCTGGATCGTAACTCGGGGTACTAGGTTGGTGTCCCTAGAGAGATTATATCTCGAAACGGGTTGGGAAAAGCTTAAAGATCGAAGGGAGTGCCACAGATTAATTTATTTTTACAAGATGAAAAATCATATTACTCCGGAATATTTATCAAACTTAGTTCCAGAATCTCATGCAAACATACATAATCATAATACGAGAAACTCGTCACTAATCCCCCCTGTTCGAACAAGAACAGCCCTGTATTCGAATTATTATTTACCGGCAACTGTACGTTCATGGAATCTCCTCCCTGAGAATGCTAAGACCAGTACTTCGGTGGGGGCATTCAGGAATTGTGTCCAGTCTCGGGTGACTAAGCCTCCAAATCATTATTACATTGGTAAGCGATTAGGTCAAATTTATCACTCAAGACTTCGAATGCAATGCAGTTCTCTAAATCAACATCTTTTTTTTTTAAAATATAGTGGCCTCACCACTTTGTTTATGTGGTGCTATAGAAACAACAGCGCATTACTTGTTGCACTGCCCCCGATTTCACATCATGCGTGAACAGCATTTCTATAACATCAATATCATACATTTCTTGTCGGAAGAAATTTTGCTACACGGTTCAACGGATTTCAGCTACGAACGAAACATTGAAATATTCTTGGCAGTTCAAACATTCATACTCAGTAGCAAAAGATTTGTCATATGATTACAATCATCTTGTTCAACAAGTAATACTTATATCTTAAATAATTGTGTCCGTTCAGAAACATACACTTTATTATTGTATATCTGATGTAAAAAAAAAAAAAAAAAAATTTTTTCTCTTTTGTGTTCACAACCTTATTACATGTATATGTTTTGTTTGTTTTCCATCTAGTGTAACATTGTTAATTTTTTTACACTCTACTCCTTGAGTATTACAATATGAAATGTTCTTATTTGAATTAGGAAACGGATTAATATAAGCTAACAGCTTGTTTCTGGATCCTATTAATTATTCACTTGTATTAATATGTAAATGCCAATTTGTGTACATTACTTAACCTGAATTTAATTAATAAAATATGTTTACACTAAATCTTGGAATCATTTACCTTAAGTGACGGTATATAACCATTTGGGGGCTTTAAGATGTCTTCTTAACTTATTCCACGAAAATGTCACAGAATGTTAAATTTCATATATATTTTTATTTTTTATAAAACGCAATAGAAGTTTGATAAGACATCGTTTAATGCATTTTTTTTGAGTATCTGCTGCCGTTTCCCCCTCTTTTCATAGAGGTTTGTTTTATCTATAATATATTGTTCAGCGCTTTATTTCGTTAATTCATCACTATTGGAGAGTTTTAAGGTGACGATTTCAATACAAACAAATTTAGTACGCCTCAATATGACATTTTTTTTCTTGTTTAAATGTAAATTACATTGTTGTACTCACATTTGAGTAACGTTGTATGATTCGGTCTGTTAGAGAACAAGTAGCTAGTAGACAATAGTTTATCTGTAAATCTTTTATTACACGAATTAATGAGTTCATTCATAGCAAGAATTCAATCACTGAAAAGTACTCATTTCAGTTTATCAAAATAGTACTGCATTATTTCAAAAATGATTTTCTGATGTTTTAATAGTTGTTCAGGTTTTTAACATATTTTTAAATCTGTTGAGAGGTAGATATAATTAAATTTTGATGTCCGATTTTACATTATGTCAGTTTGATCTCAACACAGTTCTTCCTGATCATACTTATAGCAACCAACAATCAACCTTATATAGCAACAACTCATATAAGCAGATTGTAATTGTTTGTCACGTTTATAAAGCGTGCATGGTTTAGTCCTTTCAGAAATATGTGTTAAATTTTGAATATGGTATTGGAATTCTACTTTCATTTTCGTAAACAACATGCTATATCAGAAACAAATTCATCTTTCATCCAATGTAAATATTAATTTAATTTTAATATTTACAGAAAAATTGTTTGAGACGCAAACTGTAACAACCAGAATGACAACATCAGCGACAGACCAAAATACATCAACATTCAAACGTAAGTATAAATATATAATTTGTTAGAGCTTAAATATTTTCATCGAATGTATGCGAATAATTTTGAGAATCATGGCATTATAGTAGGATACATTTGTAGAGGGTATAGATTTGTGGTTCTTCATTTCTGTATTCTTTAATTTTTTAAAGTCATTTTCTCTATTCTTTATATTTTTGGCAACGATATTCTCTATTATTTATATTTTTGGCAACGATATTCTCTATTCTTTATATTTTTGGCAACGATATTCTCTATTCTTTATATTTTAGCACCCCGTTAACATCTATTCTTTATATCTTAGCACCCTATTATTCTCTATTATTCACGTTTTAACACCTCAGTATTCTCTAGTTTTGATATTTTTTCACCCTAGTATTCTCTATTCTATATTTTTGGGCCCACTTTTCTGCAGTATTGGACCATATTCTATTTTATGTAAACCCCATCAATGGCAAATATCCCATATTTATTTTTGAAGATAGTGGTCCAAAAGTCTAACGAAGTTATAATCTGTACATACAGTAACACTTGGGTCTTTTGCAATTTCGTGGTCAGTCTTATTGAAGTGATTCATTTTGTACAGTTTGATGAATTTATAAGGGTCACCATTAACAAGAGGATCATTTATTTCAGGATTATAAATCTATAATTCTAATAAAACTAAGGTTACATGTCTCACAGGCAAAGTTGGACTAATACGATTAGATTTTTTATTCTTTAAAGACCCTTTGATTTTTTTGCACTGAAACGTTTCTTAAATAATCATCAGATACTCTCGAAACCAAATGTGGATTTATTTACACACATTTGGTTTCGAGAGTATCTGATGATTATTTAAGAGACGCTTGTTCTGGAAGCAGGATATCAGTATCGTACAACTTTTCATTTTTTTTTCATTCGTAAAAGATTATATTTTACTTTAGTCAGCATTTGGTCCACCAACAAGGTCAAAAATAGAAAACAGAAAATAGATTGACGAAACCTAGGCGAATTTTAATATAAAATAGTAAAACATATAACAAATTTACATATAACTTTATTATTCTGAACGCAAATCATTGCCGTATAAATAATAAAGCAGTCATGTACATATATAGATTGCAAAAAGGGGCGTTCCAGTTTAAATGGTAAACTGTTAGAGCATAATTATATCAAGAATACATTTAAAAAAAACAAGAATATTGGTTTTAGGAGACAAGGTTCACAATAAATAAAATATTTAAGCAGTGTACTATTTTTTTTGAATTGTCTCTATAGCAACAAGTGGTAAGACAACTATGATGAATAATACAAAGACCATTCCACAGATATCAATGACAACAACGGTGATGACGTCAACAACAAAACCCCCAACCAATAAACGTAAGGATAATAGTGTACTACTTTTTTTTTTATTATAATATTTACACTCGGGTTCTGAATATAAAAACAATGCGAAAACAAGCTGAAAATATAGATTTCTAAGTGTATTCGCCTTAGTAGCAAGATAAAAGATTTCTGCAGCAACAGGATGCATATTTTTAATTAGTTTTACTAACTATATATCTTGTGAATATCGTGGACTAGTACTTATATTTTCGTATTGCACAAGTCGTGCCTTTCTTAGAGTGTTTATGAAGTCTTACACTAAATCCGTTGTATGTATTATGATTGATACTTTTGTCTGGAAGAGCATGATTTATTTGCTATTTTTTATTGGCTTTAATTAGCTTTCAGTTACTGTATGTACTCTTCGATCGGCTATTTTGTCTTTTGTCTTTGTGTAATTATTTTTTTGGAAAAGGGGGGGGGGGGGGTATCGTGCTAATTAGATTAGTCAAGCCATTACCAACTTATTTTTATATTTTGAATTTACGTTGTGCTGTTACATCACTACCCCGGGTTAGGAGATGGGGTATTGCACTTATAAACAAGTTTAACCCTGCCACATTCTGAATGTGCCTATCTTTGTTATTTAAATGCGTACACCAAAACGTAATATCGGCTAAAAACGTCAACAACAGCGAAATTCAGCAAATGAAGACAGGTTTATTTCATTCTGAGGTACAAAAAATACATTTACACATAGTCCTTTAGATTCTCAATATCAAAATGGTTGATGTAATGATAAAACTACGTTTATCTCAATCTTATAACTATTGAATACACCCACGTGACTAACAAATCGAAACTCCTCAACCTACGATAACAGTACCATCGGAGAAAGGTTAATCCAATTTCTCATTTATACTTATTCTGTGACTCATGCTTTTGCATTAAAATCTATGGAATACAGCGACCAATGGATAAAGGTAAAATTTTTGTCAAATGTATAACAGAAAAAAAAAAGTGAAGACACCAAGGGTCCAAAAATAAAACAGCACTGTGGCACCGTTAAAGTCTACAATTCATCTAAAGTCCACAACACCACTATAGTCCACAACAAATTCCCGCTTAAGTCCATAACGCCGCTAAAGTCCACAAACTTTCCGCTAAAGTCCACAAAATGACCTCCGCTAAAGTCCACAAGAAAACGCCGTTCAAGTCCACAAGAAATAGTTCCGCTAAAGTCCACAAAAAACACCGTTAAAGTCCACACTTTTTTTTTATTATCAAAAAAATCAATTATCTGTGTTTTTAGTACAATACAAAGATGGGAAGTTATTTTTTTTTATCAGTTTAATACATGAAAAAAGTACAGTATTTGTAGAAGATTTTGTTCCATTAATTTGATCTTTGTTTTATTATGATCCTATCAGTGAACAAAACAGGCCAATTTGGACATCATTTCTAAAACGTTGTCTAGTCATAGTAAATTGGTTAGTTATTTCATAATTACTGCATTCTTCAAGTACTGTTTTTTTTTCTTTACATTCTTCTTATTCTTTGTAGATAATAATCACTTTTTGACGTAACAATGACGTAACTAATGTACATAGCAAACGTATCGGGACTAGAATAAGAATAAAGATATTTATTGAATCCTATGGAACGCCAATACTGTCTTGTTATGCCCATTTTCATTATAGGATGTGCATTTACCTTTATATGATGTGCACTTGTCATCATATGATGTGCAAACACCTTTATATGATGTGCAAATATCTTTATATGAAGTGCAAATATACTTATATGATGTGCATATATACTTATATGGTGTGCAAATGTACTTATATGATGTGCAAATGTACTTATGTGATGTGCAAACATTCTTATATGATGTGCAAACACTATTATATGATGTGCAAATGTACTTATATTATGTGCAAAGATCCTTATATGAAGTGCAAATATACTTATATGATGTGCAAATATACTTATATGATGTGTAGTTTCCCTTATATTATGTGCAAATATCTTTAAATGATGTGGTTTTGTCATTATATTATGTGCTTGTAATCTTATATGATGTGGTTTGGTTTACTTTATTATATGATGTCAAAACGTCATTATATGATGTGCTTTCATCGTCGTTATGGTCAATGAACATGATTACGATTAGAATGATTACTGTTTACGCCTCGTTCCGCTCGTTTCAATTGTTAAAATCAGAATCCTTAGTTTTAACAATTTCTTCTAAATGAGAATTTTTCATCTGAAGCTTATATTGAAATGAATTATCTAGTATTCACGCTTCATATAACTTACAAGAACCGATTCATTATTATATTGAACGTAACAGTGACGTAATTGTAGTGCTGTTATATAGCACGAAAGCTTTCGACAGATTATGGCATGATGCACTGTTATATGAACTGCATAAATATGCAGTTACCGGTGATTTATGGCTGCTTATAGATGAAATATACAGTGATATGCGCAGTTCTGTACGATTCAATGGTACTAGACACTACAAACCAGTAAAAGTCTGAAATGGCCTATATTTGTACTCGACTGAACTGATTTTTACTCGACCAGTCTGAATTGGTCTGAAATTTACTTGATATTACTCGACTGTAGTCTGAACCATACTAAACAGTCTGAACTTGTACTCGACCTTTACTCGACCAGTACTTAACCATTTTATACGAGTCTGAACCATACTCGACATAGTCTTAACCATACTCGACCAAGTCTTAACCAACCTAGACCTATTTTTTGTATCTATCTATACTATTTTTTCATTAATTTAGGAACTGTTATTCATATATATATATATATATAAAATGTATATCACATTTAAATTAAAATAAAACAAGGTGATCAAATTTCTGGTTGGATTAAAAAAATATCATGTAATAAATTAAGTTCGTTAAATGAATTTTCATATACATGATATCATGTTCACATTGATTTATGCATCAAAAATACTATAACTTTCAACCATTATTCAAATATCTTAAATGTTATTCAATTTTTTTTTTATCAAAATATATATAAAATAGTATATAAAGCAACTTAATAAATGTTAGAATTGACACCTTTGTTTTGTAAAATCAAAAATTTAATATAATAATAATAATAAAACTTTCATCTTTTTATCCTTGATAACCTTTTAAAAAAGGAAACGTATTCCAAAGTAGCAGTAGAAATTTATTTTAATTAAATTTAAATACGTTTTGTCAAAATTAAAGACATGGCATACAAGAAGCAGTTTAATAAGGTTTAATGGTTTAATTACCTCAGTACAGGTGTTTTACAGGTAAAAAGAAAACCATATTTTTCTTAAACTCGTGTATTACTTATCTAGTGAATTCAAAGGCCTTGTTATTTAAGTTTTACAGGATGTTGTAATTTTCAATGGATGTTATTTAAAATTTATTACTCTCTGACCAGGTGTGATCTTTTTAATCAGTGTGCGTCAAGCAGGATGTATTACTTTATAGTTTACCCCTAATCAGAAGAAAAATTTTATTCATTTCTTGAATTTTTTATCCCTTTTAAAATATATATATATCCCAAATTATGAATAGGAATAGATATATTTCTGATATAAGGTTAAACAATGTCAGTGATTTTGTTGGCTGTTGTTACCTCATTAAAAAGATAGTTATATAACTATTGTATATAACCATGAAACCTAAGTACAGAAAGTCACAGGACAGAAAGTCACAAATTTGATAGGACAAAAAGTCACAAATAATTTGTATACAATTGATTGAATATTTATGAGAAAAATCCTGAAATGTTTACTTTTTATGACACATATTCATTTTACAGTTTAGGAAATTGTTCATAAGACTTAATTTGATAAATAAAGATTTATAAAATTTTAATCATGCAAAGGATATATTTCTTGGCACCATGAAGCCATTTAAGTACCAAGAAATTGTAACATTTTGTTTTCTTAACAATTATTTGATCATTATTGATATTGTTTCAAGAAAAATACAAAAATGTTTTTTTAAAAATAAGTGTTCTATTGTTCAAAGAAAAATAACCTCAAAACTGAATTGTGACTTTTTGTCCTGTGACTTTCTGTCCTACATTCGTTTTTATTTAGGAATTTAGGAAAATCAAGTTTTGTTTAAAAAAAAAAACACATGCCAAACAAAAAACACCTTATTTTTAATAAGGTTTTATTACCCTCAGTATAGGTGTGGTTTTCAGGTAAAACAAGTCTTTTATTTAACAAGACTCAGACTTTAAAATTAGATAATTTAACTATCTCGATTTGCCAAATCTAAGAGAATCATGTATTATTAAAGAATGTAAAAAATGTTTTTATATATATCTTTTTTTAATTGTGGCTGTTGTCATGTAAGTTAAAGAGAAAGTTATTTAAACAATCAAAATTATAAAGCAGAGGTTATTTGGTAAAGTATGGTTCAGACTGGTCGAGTATTGTTCAGACCTTTGGTCGAGTATGGTTCAGACTGAAAAAATAGGTCGAGAGCTGGTCGAGTACTGGTCCAGACTGGGTTAAGACTGTTTCAGACTGGTCGAGTAATAGTTTAGACTATTTTCAATAGCAAAGATAAGGGTCAAGTACAAATCAGTACAGTCGAGTATGGTTAAGACTGGGTCGAGTAATATTAAGTTAAATTCAGACCAATTCAGACTGGTCGAGTAAAAATCAGTACAGTCGAGTACAGATATAGGCCATTTCAGACTTTTACTGGTTTGTAGTGAGACTATCTCGTTGGTTTGATCTAAAACGCGGCGTTCGCCAAGGTGGCGTCTTATCAGTTCTGTTACTGTAAATTCATAAATTATTGCGAGGTTTTTATTAATGCGAATAATGCGAATGAGTGGGTTTCGCAATAATAAGAACTCGCATTCTGATAACTTAAACATAGATCTGTATACAGACATTTTTCAAAATCGCAATAATAAACTCGCATTTTTGTTCATTCTTGAAAAATCGCTATAATGAATGCACGCAATAATTTCTGAATTTACAGTATATTTAGTGTATATATACGATCTTTTATGCCACATTATAGACTAAATGGGGATACGTTTTTCTAGATATCAGTGTAAACAGCTCTGTTCAAGCCGACGACATTGCGTTACTCTCAACAACAGAAAAAGGAATGAGGCACCTTACTAACATTTGTCAGACTTAAAGTGAGAGTTGGGCATTCAAGTTTTCTCCGACTAAAAGCAACATCTTACATTATTCAAAGAAGAACAAGAGTGTTTCAAGTAATCCTACTTTATATGATGACATCATACCACTCGTGACGTCTGCCAAACATGTCGGTATTCTTCTGAACTGTAAATTTAGATCAATGGACCAGACATTGAATGCGTGCAGAGTGTTGAGAGCTACTGCTCTTTCAGTTCTAAATTCTGGAATTTATCCATCAATTTTAAACCCTTTGACGTGTTCTAAGATTATACTTCAAATATGTTACAGCAAAGCTCAATATGGTTGTGAGTTATGGAACAATTTGACTCAAACAGAACTTATAATTACGATGTTAGAAAGATCTTACAGATTTGTGTGTAAAATTATCCAATGACTTCCGAAACGAACCCGTTCTGATAAATTTACAAGTCTTCTTGGGTGGTTTTCAGTTGAAAGCATTATCAACAGATGTAAACTTTTATTGTTTGGTAGACTACGTAGATTGAAGTCTTCTGCGTTACCAAAACGAATAATGATAAGCAGACTAATGGAATTCGAACATAAATGCATTCCAGAACAACTTGGTTTAATACCTGACATCTATAAAGCAGCCGAATTTTGCAAATACTGGTTCTTTCCCATAAAAACAACTAGTCAGTTATTGTAAATCGGAATATAAAAGCAACTGAAGAAACATGGTGGTTATACCGAATTTCAGGCGATAATGACTTTTATATGTTTAGACATATTCATTCTGCAATCAAACCGCATAAAGCATGGACAATTGGTAAACAGTTTCCTGAACTTCGTGTCTCCGCCAAATATGTTATTGACTTATGTTCTGTAGTACGTTATGTAGATGAACATTTACTTTGTGACAAATGTGGCAAGTTCTTCTTGGATATCGTTGAACACTTACTGGTATCCTGTGATTTTATACAAGACAAACGAGATGATCTATGGCAGGACATAATTAACGTTAATCCCATTCAATTCAGTGTTTTCATGGACAGTCTTTCAGCACATGATTTCACAACAACAATCCTCTCATGCAATACGTCATATGAATTAGAAAATGACGAATTAACATTTTTCTCTAAGATTTGTGTTCGTCATGTGGAACATATCTGCAGAGGTTTCCACAATCGATAGAAGACGTGTCCGTTATCGCTATTATTGACAGTGCTCATGTTGTCTTATATTAACTTGAAACAGTGTCTTAAATTCTTTGTTTTTAATTTTCTAATTTATATATTTCATGTACACCAAATCTCTATGATTGAGGAAATAAAGTTATATACATAGAAAACAACGAAAATAATGTGTTATGCATTTCAGAACGGATAAGTTCCACATAAAAAGGAAAATATTCTATGCTTTAAATTATATTTTTATCGATTAGTATCGAATATCGATGTGTTGAATGGGAGAATCTACCAAAATGTCACCATGAAAGCGTCTTCATTTTTTCTTTGAACTATTAAGGACAAGTTGTTACACATCTTCAAAACGAGTAATAACAAGATTAGTTTGTTTTCGAAACACATCACCATAATGTCAAATTCCTTTGCAAAAGGAACATTTCGATATATATAAACTATAAAGTAAAGAGTAATGTAAAAATCATAAAAATAAAGCGGTCGCATGGTGGTCTACCAAAATGTCACAGCATCGCTAACTTGACGTTCACTAAATATGTACTACAGGCAACGTATGTTTGCGTTATGGTGTTTTGTTTTTGAAACGTATCTATTTTACTAAGAGAATACATAAAATATGAATTTATTTTTTAGTTCCCTTCGTTGAAATGTGTTCCTCTTTTCAATACAACAATTTTTTTCAATAAAACCTGATTTGAGTACATTTCAATGATCGAGACAGCAACTCAACAACAAATATAATACATATTTACCCCATTCCGGAGACAAAAGTGGAAAATTAAATATTATTGCATCATACTTGTATAACATTAACATCTTTTAATAGAATATTGATTAGTTTTTGACTTATAATGAATTAACGCAAACTTTGGCACAACAGTGTATGTGCTGTACTATTTCAACACTGTTCCAGGTAAAGGAAGGGTTTGGCGCCAGCAAATTGTTTAACTTCGCCACATTCTGTATGTGCCTGTCCCAAGTCAGGAGCCTGTAACTCGTTTGATGTCATAGTTTCTGTATGACATATTATTTTCCCGTTTATTGTTATGTAATTATATCAGGCCGTTACTTTTCTCGTTTGAATTGTTTAACCCTTTTTTTTATTTCAGGGTCTTTTATAGCTTACTGTTCGGTATCGATTTTGCTCATTGTTGAGGGCTTTACGGTGATCTATTATCTATAATAGTTGTTAAATTCTCTGGTAGAGAACTTTCTCATCGGCAATCATACCACATATTTTTTCTATTAGTTATATAATTTCCTAGGCCTGGTTTGCGAGTGATCTAGGAAGTGTATCTCAAATAATCACTAGGATGTCAACACCAAGGTTGTAAATTTGATGAACCTCGCTCGAAGCAAGGGCGTTCGACTCCAATCCTTATTAACTACTTCTTTATTGTTCCGCACTCTCTTATTTAAAATAACATATTGTTTCCAGCATATACATATTATTAAAGAGAACGCTATGTTGGAGTTTCTTGTGGATATACAAATGTTTACTAAAAAATACAAAAAGAGCACCATAGCTAGATAACTTCTCAGAAATGTTGTCTGTTTGATTGATAGAAAATCGCAATACAAAGATCAATTTTATGGGGATCAAAATCAGATACTATAATCTCTTCATTTATTAAAAATATAATTCAAGCTGATAAGAAATAATTTCCAAGAACAAAGTTCCATGCTTTTTATTAGAACTATACTATCGGGAGTATAAAAAAGCGAATTGATTTTTTGATAATAAAAAAAAATGTGTGGACTTTAACGGTGCTTTTTTGTGGACATTATCGGAACTTGTTATTGTGGACTTTAGCGGAAAGTTTATGGACTTAAGCGGCGTTATGAACTTTAGCGGAAATCTGTTGTGGACTTTAGCGGTGTTGTAGACTTTAGATGAATTGTGGACTTTAACAGTGCCACACAGCACCTCGAAAGAAAAACATGCCCATACACACAGAACCGGCAGAAATCTCACATTTCAGCAAATTGAACCACATTAAAAACCATTGGATGAGAGTATTAGGTGCTGCGGAAGGATAACGTTTCTGCTTCAAAATTGACACCCGTTAGCTATAGCTACTTATCAACATGTATTTCTAAAATGCAGAACAAATTAGGGAGCTACCATTTGATTTTTATGGGGGGGCTAGGATGAAAAATTTTGTCCTGCATTTTTTTTAGTTGTAATCTCTGTCCTGCCTTTTTATTTTTCACTCTATTCGGTCCTACCTTTTTTTTTATTAGTTTATCCTGACTTTTTTTACATAAATTGTCATCCTGCCTTTTTTTTTGCCAAGTTGCTCATCCTGCCTATTTTTTTACTCAAAACTCCTGTCCTGCCTTTTTTTTTAAAATTTCATCCTAGCCCCCCATAAAAATCAAATGGTAGCTCCCTTACAATTATAACTGCAGGCGCGAATCCAGGATTTGATATTAAAAGGGGGCGGTAGTATGAATTAGGAAGTAGAGTAGACCTAAAAAAAAATGGCTGTAACTTTATCTATAAATTACATTTTTTCTATTTTTGAGGGGGATTGGAGGGGGGGGGTCGCGTATGCCCCGTCTGATTCCGCGCCTGTAACTGCTTTATTTTACATTACAGCAATATCATGCATGGTTTGTGCTGGTCCTCCCTTTATCTGTGAACGTCTTTATAAACCAGTACTCTGCTCAGACCCTAATCAACCACTATGCCTAACTGACCTTATAAATGGACGAGATGGTACAAGGACTGTTACAAGAAGGTACGTAGACATTGTAAAAAGATAATATTCAGCTATCTTAACAATCTCCGGCACAGAGTTGATATCCGTTCCGTACATGCTTCGCAATACATCTCTTAAAATGACCTCGAACGTACGTTACGTAGTACGGAACGGAACGGATATGCTATCTGCGCCGGAGATTGCTGTCTAAAAACACTTTGAACAGAACATACAGAGACGTATTTGATATGTTGAAAGGTTGGATGCAAGAATTTAACCTTTGGTCTTTACAAAAAGCTGTTTCGAGTGTGACTACAGTGTCAATTATAGTACCCGATTCAAGCAGTCATTAAAGTACACAATGTACAGAACATACTGACCTGTTTGGTTACAAGGTAGTAGACCGAGCCAGGTAAATCCAGGACACCAAGTCCTTTTATCAAATATTTGTAAAAGAAGTAACAATACTTATAATCAAGACACAAAAAATTTAATACAGACCAAGTATAAAGTTTTAAAGCAGAGCATCTATCAAATTAACGCTTTTGATAATTAATATATGGCATGTTTCTAAGTGGTATTTGACAATAAAATACAAATTTAAAGCCTGACTTTAAGATCAAAAGAAATATTACAGTTCTTTAATTTTCACCGAATATTTAAAGGAAATTTAATAAAATACTATTATTTACTTTGTTACTGTTGCTGTTATTATTATCATTCAAATCATTATTATAATTTATTTGAGCTGCGCCATATAGAAATCGACCTTATGCAAATGATTATTAATACATCTGTTAACCTATTTCGGGTTGAGAAAATCTCTATGGAAAATCTGTAATGTTTGAAAATTAAGTTGATATAAGAACCCTATAAAATAGACAAAAAATGACCTTTTATTTCGTATTTGAAGGTTCCAAAATCAATTAAAGTCTGATACATGTATATGTATACGTGCACTTGCATAAGGTCGATTTCTATCCGACGTAGCTCATTTATTATTTTATTGTTGGTGTTGTATTTCGGTGGCTCTATCTTTATGATTGTTGTTGTATTTCGATGGCTTTATCTTTATGATTGTTGTGTATTTCGATGGCTCTATCTTTATGATTGTTGTTGTATTTCGATGGCTCTATCTTTATGATTGTTGTTGTATTTCGATGGCTTTATCTTTATGATAGTTATTATATTTCGATGGCTCTATCTTTATGAAGGTTGTTGTATTTCGATGGCTCTATCTTTATGATTGTTGTTGTATTTCGATGGCTCTATCTTTATGATTGTTGTTGTATTTCGATGGCTCTATCTTTATGATTGTTATTGTATTATGGTGGCTCTATCTTTATGATTGTTGTTGTATTTCGATGGCTCTATCTTTATGATTGTTGTTGTATTTCGATGGCTCTATCTTTATGATTGTTGTTGTATTTCGATGGCTCTATCTTTATGATTGTTGTTGTATTTCGATGGCTCTATCTTTATGATTGTTATTGTATTTCGATGGCTCTATCTTTATGATTGTTGTTGTATTTCGATGGCTCTATCTTTATGATTGTTGTTGTATTTCGATGGCTCTATCTTTATGATTGTTGTTGTATTTCGATGGCTCTATCTTTATGATTGTTATTGTATTTCGACGGCTCTATTTTTATGATTGTTGTTGTATTTCGATGCATGGCTCTATCTTTATGATTGCTATTCTATTTCGGTGGCTCTATCTTTGTGATTGTTGTTGTATTTCGATAGCTCTATCTTTACGATTGTTATTCTATTGCGTTGGCTCTATCTTTATTTTCTTTTATTTCGGTAGCTCTATCTTTATGATTGTTGTTGTATTTCGGTGGCTCTATCTTTATGATTGTTATTGTATTTCGATGGCTCTATCTTTATGATTGTTATTATGATATGGATTCCTTTATTTTCGTGAATACCAATTTTCATGGATCGAGGACAAATTGTGTTTTCGTGGATATTTTATTTCTTGGCTTTGCCTATGTCAGCATACAATATAAAATAAGAAGATGTAGTATTATTGCCAATGAGACAACTCTCCACCAGAGACCAAATGACGTAGAAGTTAACAACTATAGGCTTTCAACAATGAGCAAAATTCATACCGCATCGTAAGCTATAAAAGGCCCCGAAATGACAAATGTAAAAGACTTTAAATGAGAAAACTAACGACCTGATTTGTGTACAAGAAACGAAAAACAAACATGATCTACAGCAACAAACGACAAAGAAATATGATATACAGCAACAAACAACAACCACTGAGTAACAGGATCCTGACTTTGGATAGACACATACAAAATGTTTAAACATGATAAGCATAAAGAAAATTTGTATTTCGTTGAAATCTAAATTCATGGTTTACCTTTATCCACGAAATCCCTGAAAATTGGTATACTACGAATGATAATGAATCCGCAGTATTAATGTTTTACATGTTTTAATCCTCAGATGTGCAACAAAATCGGAATGTTACAGAGACTGGTGGCAAGGATCATCTGATAATGACAAATGTACAAGATTCGACCCCAATTTGTTCATTACATTACAGTTTCAATGTACTTATTGTTGTACAACAGACAATTGTAACGTTGGTGGCATGCCAGCTAGATCAACCCTGTATATACCTGCTAAATAACACGATGAAATATAAACATGTTCATCAATAAACTTATGTTTTTATTTAATTAACCTTATGACAGGATAACCGTATCAAAGTTTTGACTACAATGAATAAATAAATATCTGTTTAAAATGCTTAAAGAAGACAGCAAATCCAACGAATAATTATGATGGATCCAAAATTCAAATATAGAAGTTACACTGAGTCTGTCTTTAACGGTGTTGTAACCTTTAGGCACAAAAGCAGTCGTTTAACTTGAATTGTACTCGCACTTATTCCGAAAGTCAGATTGATTTTTGGAAGCGAATGTAAGTATATCTGTTATTCAACTCATACAGTATATTTCATTTCTTTAGTTCATAAATGCACGAGAGAAATTAATATTAGTCTTTAGACGAACTTTTTGATCGGCTACGCGATAATCAGGTGCATTACTTAAATACATGCACGCAAAATTGACATTTAACCTCAAACTTGATTGAATAGCAAACTTAATCTTATATAAGAATTACAAACTTTACATATGAAACAACTAACAATACATGCAATTGTTATAAAGTATCAACATTTCGTGCATATTTTAGGACGCCATCACACGAATTGACTATCGGCATGAATTCCGAAGGTTTCTGTTGTGCATGTAATTCCGATACAAAAGAAAATAGATATTAATATAAATAAACAAGGATTCGTCGGTAAGCACGTGCACTTTTACTTCTTCTTTTTGATGTCTTATCATATATAAAACTGATAATACAAATCATCATTGTATCTCTTTAAGAATTTTTTTTTTCGGGCCGAATAAGTCGAAAAAAGTGAAATTCTTGTAGGTTTCGTAGTTTAACTTTTACAGCTGATATTCATTCCAATAAAACGGAACATGCTAAACGCATGCTCAATCAATCTCTAACTCGAGTCACATCAAGGTTGCATGTATGCAGATAAAAAAAGGTCTAATTAATGTCTTGTAAGACAAGAATGTATCAGCGAAGTTTTTAGCTTATTTTGACAAAATTGAACCAAACTGACTACTGAAAGAACATTGACTATTCAGAATTCCGTTATGGTAAGTGTTTTAAAAAAGTACTCCATTTTACTTGTACTCTCAAAATCGCAGCAAAGGCCGCTTGAACTATACCTATAGTTACAATGTGAAGGATCTTTCATATAAGTGTTATGCCAGTTTGAGTAAATAAAAAGTCTTTAATTTTATTGGTCGTGGTAATAAGTACTTTCAATTAGTTTGGCGGGTGGTTCTGTCTATAAAGCAAGAAGTGAATTTCATGTCGACTAACTTCCTTTCTACATGTCCGAGGAAACTTCTGTTGAATTCAGATTTCCTCGGAACATGTCGTGTAACGTATTAGCATATGTTTGTAGTATATTGTATGTCAAAATGCATCTGAATTTTCCAGTAGGCATATCTTACATCATGTCAAGTCTAAGACTAATAAAGTGTAATAGTTACAGGCAAAATCAATATGCTGGTCTTTTCAACTGATTTTTATAGTTTGTTCTTCTATTGTTCTCTGACACCACTGTCCCAGGCTAGGGGGGAGGGTTTGGCACCAGCAAACATGTTTATCCTCGCCAAATTCGTTATGTGCCTGTCCCAAGTCAGGAGCCTCTAATTCAGTGGTTGTCGTTGGTTCGTGTCTGTCATATTTGTTTTTCGTAAATTGTTTTGGCCTTTAGCTTTCTAAATTAAATTGTTTCATATTTTTCATGTTGAGACCTTTTATAGTCGACTATACGGTATGGGTTTTTCTTATTGTTGAAGCCGTACGATTGTCTATATTTACCTACATCCACTTCATTTGAACTTTGATGGATAGTTGTCTCATTGGCAATCATACCACATCTCCTTATTTCAATATGGTATCAAAACTTTGAAGTTACTCAGAGGAAATAACAGCATTAAAAGTACTGTTCTTATGCTTTTTTGTTTTGTTAAAAGAGTTAGAAGCGGATGTTCAGGATCAATATTTTTCTTTACTATTATACTTTAGACTAGCTGTAGTAGCTACATAAATAATGACAATGACCGTAAACATTGCAATGCATGGCAACAGAATGTCAAAGTATTCAATCCCGAATAAGTGCTTAGGTCAACATTTTACACAACTGTCAAAAGATGCATGAAATCTTTATTTTGATACTGTAATGTAAAATATTCAAGACTTATTGACAAACATTTATAGCTGTTTTTGCAATATTATTTCTAAATTGATTCATCAATCAAGGCATAGTTCTGATATAAGTAGTTTGAGTACTTTGATTTTCCATTCACCAAATGCAAACAATATTCGCAGTTAAGATTTTTTGATATTGCTATTTTTGCCATCTGTTATA